AGATATGTGAAACTTATCCCAATTTAGTTTAAGTGTTATCATACCACAAATATACACATTAAATATATCATCCTCTCTCTGGAACAAGTTGCTGATAAACTCATGGTATCTGCAAATACTGAGAACCACTTCCACACCAGTGCTGCTTTCCCTAAATGTATAAACTATATGCCACGTTATGTGGAACTCATTGAAATCATGCAGCTTTATGGGAGATTAACATGAGGGCAGGGTTTATGGTGCAAAATCGGAGAGGAGGGAACCGTATACAGTGTGGACCTGTTATGTTTGACCGATATGAATCCCCTTCAGGTGGTTTTATGCTCAGATTCTCACCTACAAGCATTTTAAAGTGCACACCCAGGACCCTGCATGTTCTTGAACTGTGGGAGTAAGATCTAGAGATGGAAAATGAAAAGATGAAATTTTGGACCTGCTTCCAACACAAACTGTCATCTGATTCTATAAATTTCCATTTCAGTTTTCCTCTCCCTCTTTATTTCCTACATTTCTCCCCCCCCCCCCCCCCATATGGTCCAATAGAGCTCAACAGCGTGTGTGGAGGAGTGTCTCCTGTTCCCCCTGTCCTCTCCCTCTCCAGGAGCATCAAAAGGAGGAGGACCCACGCAGGGTGTTTGAAGAGCCCACCGACACTCCCCTATGGGTGGTGAACTGGCAGATGCTCAAACCACGCAACTCTATCTAGGCGGGAGGAGCATCCTTCTCATCTGCTTTTGTAGCCCTGCCATTGGTTTTCCTTGCAGCCATGTACCAGACATTAGTCAACTGTATTGTCGTTTGTAGATTTGTATTTTAACCCATTACATTGTGTGATCAATTAATGCAGAGCACCTTTCAGTTTTAAGAGTTATGACCATTTGTTGTTGGTTTTGTTTATTTATAGTTAATTGCTGTCCTCTTGTATTTCATGGATTGGCATGAAACTTTGTTGACATTCATAGTCCCCAGAGGATGAAACCCACTGAGCTCTGGTGACTGTAAAAACCCGTTTTTATTAGTCATTGATTTTTTTCAGCAAAACAAGTTGCAATGACCCACAGAAGCTAACCAACCTTCATCAGGGGGAATAACTCTGTCACTGTCAACGTTAAACACTTGCTAGCCTAAAGCATAATTGAGGCTAAAAACAACTAAATGACTCCAGTTACAATCGTGCTCGCTCCATTCAAAATGAACGTCTATTGTTTAGTTTTGAAATATGAGACAACACACAAAAAGTAATGTTTATTCCTATGGTTTATATGGTATCCTCTAGCATTGTTTATTCCATTTATTTGGAATTCAAAAATGCGTAGGAGCTGTGCCACTGTTAGAGCAAACCCAGCTTTACCACCAGAAGAGAGGATAAACCACTGTGACTGCTCGTTTTTCTGTCTTCAGCCCCTTTCAGCCTGTTCAAGGCAGGAATGTTGCAATTTTATTGTGCCTCGCTGTTCTGAATAAAAGGTGCAAAGTTTGAATGAAGGGGCTTTGGTGTTCCACCTCTATGCACAATGGAGGTAGTCAAATCAAAGTTTATGTAAAATGGAGAGCCAGAAATGGCCGGGCAGGATGCCAAGGCTGTGGTAACATAAATCATGACTCTCATAGTGGTACACCATCATACGTCTAAGATCACACACCAGTCTGCTTGGTAAGTTCAGTGTAAACAAGCAAAGGTGGTATTATGAGTAAAATCCCTGTCGCAAATTATCTGTATAATGAAATTATATATCCCAGAGAAGGCTTTAAAACCTGGAAAAATGACCCGTCTAATTTCATACTCTCAACCAGTACCACAACCTACTGCCATCCAACGGAATTGATTATTCATTAATCAAGGTGGAAACAGGCGTCAGGGTGAGACGCTTTAACAAGAGCCATGTTTGTATGTTACTGAGTGTATCTGGTGGAAACACATGTAGACCTAAATGAGGTTTCCTCTCCCAGTACCTGTGTGTCACACTGGCATTTTCCCCATCACGAACATGAACTGCAATGCTGTCTGCTGCCAACTCGTAGACGTACAGTGTGTTGTCAGAACCTTTCCAGTAGCGTAGCCATCATAGCTTCACACAGCTGTGGTCCCTGCCATGCTGATTGTCTGGCCTTTAGCTTCCTGGGTGGCAGCGTTGAGGCTTTGACCTGCTTTGTCTCCCTCTCCCTCACCCGCTCGCTCAGTCTGCCTCTATCTGCTCGACAGCACTCACCTCCTCCGACAGGCCTCCCAGAACGTCGGCTCCTGACAGACAGGCCTCTCCCCCTCCCTCTCTTTAATTCTTCATCTCTTTCCCTCTCCCAGTTTTTCCATTGCCTCCTCTGAATCTCTTTCCTTCTGCCTGTGCGTCTATCACAGCTAACTCCTCACCCAACTCCTCTGCTCTCATGTCAGCGAGAGGTGAAAGAGGTGTCTTACAGTAAAGAAGAACCTGCAGCTTTGTTTCATATTACACCTCACAGAGTGCTGTAGCTGTCTGTGGCTATCAGCCTCTACTCCTGCCTCCCACAAAACCTTTTCTCCACTTTACACAAATACTTTTCTTCTTCTCGTTGGCTTCTATCTACTCAGTAATCTGAAAATGCAGTAGAAATATGACTTGAATATATCATTAACAGTTTTTATTCACTCTTCACACCTCTGTTTTGGTCTCCTCCAGCTCCACTATGTTGACCCGATAATTGCTTTTTTATATTTGTAGACATATATACTATTGCTTGCTGCCTGATGGGTTGATCTAATCAATGATCCGACAGACATTCAAACACACATAGAGCTCAGGTTCACTGCCTAATCTTTACTAGCCATAAGCGTCCATTTTTACATATGCAGTCATTTAATTCATCGTTGATATAAAATCATTGGTTTGTACAGTTTAAAGCCCGTCACAGGATCCCCCTTTTTTTCCACCAGCCTTAATATAATACTTAAACATTTATTGTTCTTCAACCCTTGTGATCACAGTCGTAACCCTGGTCTCCTTTGAAAGGTCACGTATTGAATTTTACAGCCAAAAAGTAAGAAAGAATATCAGAGATACTGAACTTTGGCAGAAGTTGATAGAAATATACTTTTTCTTTTTGCCTCCCTTTTGTTTATTCCCATAACACAGTAAAAGGCCTGTAGATCAGCCTATAATTCCTGCCCTGCTCCTACCTGAATAGTCACATCCTCTCATTGAAAACAAGCATGCTACATTAGCATTTCTCCTAAGTAGTGTGTCTGTGAATGAACATGCCCTTAATCAGCTGAGGGATGCACTACAAATACGGACGCTTTGCATCATGTTTGTCTTGCAATTCATCAGGGAAACAGAAAACACAACTCTTTTTGTACCCTCTGCATTTACAGTCATCCTACTTCCCCCGAGCAAGCTATTACAACTCCGTGGTCATATTTCATTAAAGAACTGTTTAAAATGCAACATTCTTAATAGGCTTGTTGGAACTTTGTGTGTGTGTGTGTGTGCACGACAGCACGTGCACATTATACCAGTGTGTGATTCCTGCATTTGTTCAATTCCTTTATCTCGTGATCTGAAAGGGGCCTTCAGCACGGGCACACGCTGAAGGGGGCTGGTCCAATGAAGGAGGGGAGAGGGTCTCTACACATGTAATCCTTGTCATTGAATTTAGATAAATCTTTTTTTTATTAATGAATATTTCAGTAGTTATTGCAACGAGCTAATCGTGCAAGTCTCTCTTTTCACTGCTCCCTTTGCTCATAAGCGAGTCACTCATATAATGATTTAATTAATAGCATTGTATCCACAGATGAAAAGCTTATATTTAATCAGCAAAATGGAGTGAACTGAGATCAGGGGCCTCGACTGTCATGAAAACGTGCTTGAGGTCCCACTTGCTCACTAAGCCACTCTAAGCCCTGGGACACCCATACTTAATTGAGAGTTAATAAATAAATGTGGTTAGAGTAATCCCTGGATCCAGCCCCTCAGAGCCCCCGATCTAGCTGTGTGTGTGTGTGTGTGTGTGTGTGTGTGTGTGTGTGTG